TTATTATTATTATTATTATTATTATTATTATGTTCTTTTTACAGATGACAGAATTGTGGCTTGGAGAGGTTAATTAAGTTGGTAAGGATTATACAACTAAATAAGTATTCTTAAGATTTAAATTTAGGCAGAGTGGTTCGAGTTCCTCATAATGTCCTATTTTATCTGCGCAATAGGAATTTAGATTTAGACAAAAATATGAAAATGTAATAGAAAACTCCAAACTTCACTTTTGAGTTCTTCTCTGGAGCTGAGTAACTTCCTGGTCCAGGGGGTTCCTGGGTGTGTAGGACAGTTTCATTTCACATGGGAAGAGGGAGGAGTATCCAAGGATAATCGGGTCTCAGTATCTTAGACACAGGAAAGTTCTGATACTTTTCGTGACTATAGGAGGACATTTAAAGGACCAAATTGTGTCCCGTGAATAGCTGGATTATGCTTGCCAGATATTTGGATCTCGTATAGCAAGCACCCTGTACCCTGTAACTCATATTTCGGTCCTTCTCTGACAATATGGTGAGCATTCTTGATTCCAAGATAAAATTTGTTTTCGTATTTAAATATTACGAAAATCCATTGGTGTTTTAAAAGTTATGAATACTTTCGATGTTTATAAAATTTCTTTTAGAACCTCAAAAACTGTTATTAAACCAATGGACCTACATCTAGGAATTGAGGATGTTGAATAGTTATCTTTCAATTCAACCATTATTATTAACTTTCTACTATGTACAGGACATCATGATCAATAAGAAATGTGCAAGAGAAGGTTTCTCTCATAAAATGTTAAAAGGAAGGATTGGAGCACCAATAATTGGACAAAGGTCAATAGTCATATGTAAAACCAGAGAAGGTATAAGTGCTATGCTGTTTCAAAGGAAGTGAAGTTTCATTTGGCTAAGGACACTTTGAAAGTTTTCTTGAAGGACTTGTTTGAGGAAGCCTTTATAAAGGTTAGATAAGACTTTAAAGGTGGAATGGAGAAGGATAAAAGCATTCCGGATAGTGGGATGAGGCAAAAGATATAACCTTCTAGTAAGTTAAAAAATAACTCTAGAACTAACAGTTTGACAAACTTCAGCCCACAGGCCAAATCTGGCCTATCACCTTTTCTTTTTGTATTGCCTATGAGCTAAGAAATTTTTTTTTAATGGTTGGGGAAAAATCAAAAGAAGAATAAATGGTGACATGCGAAAATTACATTAGATTCAAATTTCAGAAATAAAGTCTTATTGGAAAAGACTCATGCTCATTCATTTACATATTATTAAGGCTGCTTTACCTTACAAGGGCAGAGTTAAGTAGTTTCAACAGAGACTCTATTGCCAACAAAGCTCTAAGTTCATTATCTTGCTCTTTACAGAAAAAGTTTGTTTGCCAAGGATTATAACATAAAGATCCTCAACATTCTCAAAAGGATTTTGCCATGTATGAGTTAAGATACTTATTAAAATATACTTAAAACCCTTTTGTGAAATTATTCAAATCTGTGATCTTGAATTTCATTGTTCAATTCTGGTACATATAATGCATATTCTAGAAAATTTTTACAATTTGGCAAGCTGCTGATCAAAAAAGGTAGAGGTGTTAAAGTTCAGTAGTAACATTGATATTATTATTATTTCTTTTATTTCCACTTTGGTAAAGTAGATTGTTTACCTGGATTTATGTAAGTAGTCATCTTTTCGGTAAAGTAAGATGTACACAAGTAGGCTGTAATTTGACAATGCACAGAATAGCAGAAACATTGTACTAGTATTATGTCACTTAGAAGAGAGTGGGTTTTATTTTTTTCTGATTTTGCGAATTGGTGTGTACATTTATTATTTTTCTCAAATACTATGGGAACCCTGTGTCCTTGAGTTGATAACATCTATAATTTTAAAACATTTTGTTATCATCTTTGTATTAAGGCGGGTTCAAGACTAGATGGTAAGGTTTGTGACTATCTTTCTTAAACTCTAATATATCTGCCAAGGCTCTTTATCAGTGTTTATCTTTCATTAACAGCTTAGGAAATAACATCTAGAAAATAGAGAAAAGTCATTTTTAAAAATCACCCATAAATTTATCACACACAAAAATCACTTTCAAGATTTGGTCAGGCTTTTTAAGTCTAAACTTAGGGTTTACACATTTATGTTGTCATATTTTTATAAAATGCATTCTGCTTTTTATTCTTAATTTTATATCATAAGCATTTTTATGTTATTATGTACTCTATGAATGTATTTCATGTCTTTTTATTATTACATTCAGTGATTTTTCTCATAATTTAACTATTTCCTTATTGTTGGATATTTAGATTTTTTGCTATTTTTATAGTATTAGAGTATTTGCAGTACTCTAATACCTTAATCTTAAGATAACTTAAAATTTATAATTATTTTCTTAGGCTAAGTTGCAAGAAGTGCAATTTCTGGATCTAAGTTTGTAGAGATTTTGAGATTTTTCTAAAAATATTTCTCTTACAAAAGATTGGTTGAAAAGCTTAAA